GTAATTTTGATTTATTCTTTGATGTTAACAGGGATCTTAAGTTTGGGTTTGATTTGAATACCGCTCTGTAACCAGCTTTTCGGAATATTTTCCTAAGTTTTGGCGAGAGACCGGGTACCCATGGTAAGGAAACTACAGGATAATTATTGATTTCAGATGGAATTGTAATTTTATTTTGTCTTTTGTGTTGAAACTGATGCGCAATATTCATCATTTGAGTTTTATCGTAACCATTTTCAATAAACATGTCGATTAGAAAATTTATTTCATTTTGCAAGTAAGACTTACTACAAATTGAGTAAGCTCGGTGGAGAAACCCTTTAAAAATAGAGTTCAAGATATTTGGATCATGATTTGAGTGTGGCTTAATTTGAATGTTAGTGATAGCATCTTTCCGATACACTTTGTATTCATACTTTCCTGTTTTTTTATTCATAATTTGTATATCCAGATAATTTAGTGTTCCTAACTCGGGAGAATATGTTTATAAAGTCAAAAGAACGATTAGTGAAAAAATTTCTAATATTGCAAAATGAACGTGAAAACAAAAACGATAATGCCGAAAAAACAACAAATTATAAAAAGAATGCTGTCCTAAACTTATGCGATACCGACATTCCAGTAAGTCATAATAATTTTCTAAACCTCGGTCCACACTTTGTACCATCTTTAAAGTCGATACCATATATGGATATTATTACAGCCACGGAATCCTCTGCGTTAAAATTAGAATACAACAATAAAATTGAAAATGCCCAAGACCTAAGGAAAAATGTTTTAAGAGAACTAAAAACCGGAAAAAAATTAAATAATAATCTTACAAAAGAACAATGGAAAGCTTATAGAGAAATAAAAGAGGAAAAAAACGTTGACATATATCCATTCGACAAAGGGACAGGTTTTGTACGAATCGAACATTCAAAAGCCTTGGAGAAAATTCGCGAACAAATAGGCCCAACAAAAATAGTAAGTGAAGACCCTACTGCAAATTATGCGGCTAAAATTCGTAGATATCTTTCAAAACTAAATAAAAGAAACTGTTTTTCGAAAGAGGAATACGAAAAAATATATCCTAGTGATCCCATCCCGCCTCGTATGTATGGTGTAATCAAAGCCCACAAACCTGAAAAATTCTATCCTATGAGAATAATTATCTCCACAATCGGCACAGCAAACTACGGAATATCTGAGTTCTTAGTTAAGATAATACAACCAGTTTTGAATGAAAACTTGACAAGATTAAAAAATTCCTTTGACTTTATTAAAAACGCTGAATCTTGGAAAATTGACAAAGATGAAGTTCAGGTATCTTTTGATGTCGTAAATCTGTATCCGTCGGTTCCTTTAAAAGAAGCCACCCTTGTACTTATAGAAAAATTAAATAATAATACAACATATAAAAAATTAACTAGACTAAGTATACCTGAAATAAAACAACTTATAGAACTTTGTTTATTTCAATGTTATTTTCATTGGAACAATGAAATTCATATAATGGAAAACTCGGGTCCAATTGGACTTTTGTTCATGGTTGTTCTTGCAGAATCATTTCTACAATTCCATGAAAACAATGCAATTTAAATTGCACTAAATTTTAACCCTGCACTTAACCTCAAATCGTTCTTAAGATATGTCGATGATAGTCACGCAAGGTTTCCAGATCTCAACCAAGCAAAACATTTCCAATACATTTTAAATCAACAACATCCTTCCATCCAGTATACAATTGAAGTTGAAAACGAGTTAGGAACACTAAATTATCTGGATATACAAATTATGAATAAAAAAACAGGAAAGTATGAATACAAAGTGTATCGGAAAGATGCTATCACTAACATTCAAATTAAGCCACACTCAAATCATGATCCAAATATCTTGAACTCTATTTTTAAAGGATTTCTCCACCGAGCTTACTCAATTTGTAGTAATTCTTACTTGCAAAATGAAATAAATTTTCTAATCGACATGTTTATTGAAAATGGTTACGATAAAACTCAAATGATGAATATTGCGCATCAGTTTCAACACAAAAGACAAAATAAAATTACAATTCCATCTGAAATCAATAATTATCCTGTAGTTTACTTACCATGGGTACCCGGTCTCTCGCCAAAACTTAGGAAAATATTCCGAAAAGCTGGTTACAGAGCGGTATTCAAATCAAACCCAAACTTAAGATCCCTGTTAACATCAAAGAATAAATCAAAATTACCTAATAACAGTCAACCAGGAACATATATAATCAAATGCAACTGTTCAAAAGTGTATGTAGGCGAAACAAAAATGAAAGTAAACACAAGAATGCATCAACACCAAAAAAGCATTGATGAAAATAAGCAGCATCAATCTGCATTAGCTCTGCATAAAACATTTTGCAAAAAAGAAATTATTTGGGAACAAACAAAAACATTGAAAGTAGAAAATAAAAAATTTGAAAGAAAAGTTAGGGAAGCCCTAGAAATACAAAAAAACATGTGTTCTGCAAAAAATGGCGGGATTAATCTCGATGAGGGTCAATACGTAAAAACTAAGTTTTGGACGCCATTTTTTAAATTTCAGCGAAAAAGAAGCCATTCAACCGCTGACGTCAATAGCAACGTTTTAATTTAAATTATAACGGTTTACTAATTACTGTAACATTTAACAAGCTGAAGAAGCTGGTATCTAAAATCCAGCTGAAGAAGCTGGTATCTAAAATTTCTATAATAATAAAAAATTATAAGTGTTGAGAGAAATCGTATTTTTGATGTTTTAAAATAATATATATATATATATATATATATATATATATATATATATATATATATATATATATATATATATATATATATATATATATATATATATATATATATATATATATATATATACAGGGTTTGTGATGAATCGAGCACGATCGCGCTCCGCTCGTGAAATGCACCCGTAAATGGTATTTTGAAACGTTCTAGGCGCGATAAACAACACTCGTTCAGCTTATAACGAGCGTATAAAATAACGCTCGTCCAAGAGTTCGGGGCAAAACAAATAATAACATTTTTTTTTATTTTCATAAAATATAAAAAAAAGATTTTTTAATAAAGATTTTATATTATCAAAGCACTAATATAATATAAAATAAAAAAAACACTACGTCGTTCTTTTTTGCACTAACCTAATGAATGAGCAGTTTGAAGTGGTTAATAGGCACTAATTTCATTGATGGAATGTGCATGTAGAAATTCAATGCAAATACAAAAATGCACAAATAAAATAATAAAAAATTAGTAAATCATTATAAGAAAATTGAAACTTCAGAATATTTTTAATCTTGTGAAAACATCAAGTAAGATTTATTTGATTTATTGTTTGTAATATTCCATACATCCTTTATAATAAAAATAAATAATAATGATTCAGTAATTTTTTTAATTAGTTTTTGTTTATACTATAAGTTTTTTATTAACTATTATTTATTTTAACTCAAATTTAAAACGATTCTGTTGTTTAGAATGTCCGCAATCAATGACATTCCAAAAGGAAACAAAGTAATGTTGTCAACATTTATTAAATGGAAAGTTCAAGAGGTAATAGGCTTTAGAACTGAAGTTACCAGATATGAGTGACGAAATAGCTGCATTCAGTTTCGAAAATGTAGAAGAGGAAACACCGTTGACAACAGTTGAGGGGAAAATCTGTTATTTAACCTATAATGAATAGTTTAAAAAAAAAAAGATTTTCAAACTTTCTTGTGTTATTTTTTTAAAAAAATCGTAACTTAAAAAAGAAATTTTAGAAATAAATTAATTTGAATAAAAAATATCAAGAAATATAAAAACTATTTTTAAATACATATATCAAAACAACGAAACAAAAAAAGGCACTAAATTATAAAAAAGTCACTAAATTATACTTCAATACTAAATCAACAAGAAGTTGCGTTTTTGTTTAATATATTTTTTTTTATATCATAAATAGTTTAAAAAAAATCCCGATCTGACAATATGTAAGAGTGTTAATTCATGAGTGTGATACTAATTATAACATTTGTCGACGAAAGAATGATGTAACAAATAAAAAAAGATCTTCTTCAGCAATTTTCATGATCGCGCTTGTCGGCGTTATCTCGAGCGCATATAATCATGCTCGATGAAAACATATTTTAATTTTACGAGCGCGATATAACACGCTTGACGATTTTATTCGTCACAAGCCCTGTATATGTATATATATATATATATATATATATCCATATATATATATATCCATATATATATATATATCCATATATATATATATATATATATATATATATATATATATCCATATATATATATATATATATATATATATATTTATATATATATATATATATATATATAATATATATATATATATATATATATATATATATATATATATATATATATATATATATATATATCCATATATATTTCTTATGATTAAAATTAATTTTTATTAAACTACAACTATATAATTAGAAACCTTATAACTATATGAGCTTTATAATATATTTATACATATTTATACATATATTTATAATAATATGAGCTTTCTAATACATTTATGCATATTTATTCATATATTTATACTTTCTTGAGCTTTCTAATATATTTATACATATAAATATATATATATATATAAATATAAATATATATATATATATAAATATAAATATAAATATATATATATATATATATATATATATATACATATATATATATATATATATATATATATATATATATATATATATATATATATATATATATATATATATATATATATATATATATATATATATATATATATATATATATATATATACATATATTGAACTTTCTAATATATTTATACAAAAGACTGTATACTTTTTACAAACATAAGAGGTATTATTTATCATTGTATTAATTGTTATTAATCATTGTTATTGTTAAATTGTTATCATTGTTTTTATTATATTATTCCTACACTAAAAATTATAACTAAATTTCATTACTAACCATCCTTCAGAAGCTCAATAACAGTTTCTTCCTTATTTCTTGCTATTGCTTCGTTCAAAGCCTCCCCATTAATATCTCCAACATTGTATTTTTTCAGCAACCTTATAAACTCAACTTTTTCATTTTTGCATACATACTGTAAAGGAGTGTATGACACATTATCATCATAAAACATTTTATTTACATCAGCACCATTTTGAATTAACATCTCTGCACATTTTAAGCTATTTTTATTTTCTACTACTAGTGAAAAATGAAATGCTGTTTTTGTATCACATACTTTATCAATAACCAAACAACCTGGAAAACTTTCTTCCTCTCTAAAAAATATTATGAAAGAAAGTAAACTAATTTATTGGAAAAATTTTATAAAATTAAAAGCTGTCAACCAAAAAATTAAATAATAAAAAACTTACGATTCATTTTTGAAGGGTTTGCAGGTCAAGAGCATCTGAATAATGTTTACATGTCCATACATCACAGCCAAGTGTAAGCACGTTAATCCACTTCCCATTGGTTTATTAATGTCTACGTAATACTGATGTTCTTTAGATTCTAAAAAAAAAAATCACAATTTAGTTTTAATACTTGTGAAACTTCTTGTTTTCATTTTACTTTCTATAGGTGCTTTTATAGATTGTTTTTTCATACAATTTAAAATCAAAGATTTCAAAGACATATTGTTTATATGTGTAAACCTTTTACATTTATTAAATCTTATTACAAACTTTATAAATCTCAGTTAAATTGTTAATAATAAATTTTTATTTTAACTAATGCAATGGAGCTTTAAATTTATAGGAAAGATTTATAAAAGTTTTATTCTTATATGATAGTATATAAGCACAAATTTGTATAACTTTATAACACAATGCAGTTTGTATAACTTTATAACACAATGCAGTTTGTATAACTTTATAACACAATGCAGTTTGTATAACTTTATAACACAATGCAGTTTGTATAACTTTATAACACAATGCAGTTTGTATAACTTTATAACACAATGCAGTTTGTATAACTTTATAACACAATGCAGTTTGTATAACTTTATAACACAATGCAGTTTCAAAACTTTACATTTTGGGATTTTGTTTTAACAAATAAAGAAATGATTTCCATTATTTCAATGTTTCTCATAACCCCATATTTAAATAAAAAAGTAGTTTAAGAAGTTTATATATTACATATCAATATTTTGAGTTTAGAGAAGCTTTGCTCACCAAAGCAACAATAACTAGAAGTGGCAAAAGGATTCTCGGAGAATTTAAAGATTCTTAGAGGATTCAAAGGGATCCTCAAATAATTCAGAAGGATCCTAAGAGGATTCAAAAGGATACTCAGAGGATTCAAAAAATTTCTCAGAGGATTCAAAAAGATTCTTATAAGATTCAAAAGCTATAACAGTGTTGGAGATTATTTTTTAATTTAAAGTTTAGTAAACTTTGTACCCTGCCTTGGATAAATTTTTTTTTTAAACATCTTTGCTTCCAACAAGGCTGCAAGCAACCACTAATTATTGTTGGAAGTTACTAGAAGAGAAAAGATGAAGATTATAGAGCAAAAGAACGATTGACAGACAACTTAAAAGATTGCAAATTATATGAATCAGGAAAGCAAGTTGAAGGAAGCGAATTCCTAAGAACTGATGTTCGAGGAAAAAAACTAGAGGAATAAGAGTTTTTGGAGCACTTAGGAACAGTCACAGAAAAAAGATGAGACTTAATTGAATGACAAGTAACACGAAAAAGATTTTTAGTAGAAAGCACAAGAGACGCTAGGTCTTTAGAGCAGTGCCCAATATAGTATTTATAGAATTATAGAATACACATTTTGTAGAAAATAAAAGCAACATTACAACAATGTGATAATGGCTGAAAGTTGGCTGCAAGAGCAGGTCCAACTATGTTTACAATGCTTTTTTGCTACTTGTCTAAAAGAGAAAGAGCATCATCAGAAGATCTGCCCCAGATATGGCAACAGTATTCTATACAAGGCCGGATTTGAGATTTAAAGAGATAGAGAATAGAATTCAGAGTAAGAAAGTGTCAAGCTCGATAAAGATGCAACTTTAGCAGATGCTAATTTTGCAACGGATTAGATATATGGTTTCCAAGAGAGATCAGAAGTAAAAGTTACTCCTAGAAGATGAAGGGTAGATGACTCATCAAGTACATTACCGTTCATAAATATAGGAAGGTCTAAATTATTGTGATAACGATGGCTGAAAAAATTGAGTTTTATCTGAATTAAAGTTCAACAGCGACTGTGAGCCCCATGCTGTAGCTGAAGTGAAATCCTTTTCAAGCTCAAATGACCCCTCCAAGCAATCAGAGAGAGTTGGCTTCTTATCATGACAAGAATAATTGTGGTATCATCAGCGAACAATGCCAACTCAGATGTGAGAATATCTGAAAGATCGTTAATGTAAATTAAAAAGAGTATAGGGCCAAGGATTGAACCTTGGGGAACCCCTGAGGTTACAGAATAAGAAGAAGAGTGCTGTCCATCAAGGACAACTTTTATACTACGATTGGAATGGAAGGATTCAATAATCTTAAAGATGTTTCCAGATACACCGTAAGAAAAAATTTTATGGAGAAGACCAGCATGCCAAACTTTATCAAAAGTTTTAGAAATGTCAAGAGTGATGGCCTTAACCTCTCCACCTTTATCTAATGCACAATAAAACCTATCGGTTATTACTGTTAGAAAATCGGCTGTAGAACGAGAAGATTGAAATCCATATTGATGATCAGAAAGTAAGTTATTAGATTCAAGATGAGAGATTAAATGTAATAAAGACTAATGGGACGGTAGTTGGACGAATCAGATCGCTCTCCGGAACTTTAAAAATAGGGATAAGAGATGCTGCTTTCCAGTTGGAAAACAAGACTTAGATAAGCACTTGTTGAATAGTTTTGAAAGGATAAAAAACAACTCTGAAGAACACTTCTGCAAGACTATAACAGGTATGTTGTCTGGGCACAAGTTGTAATAGATTCTGAGCAGGAAATCACTTTAGATACAGAAGCTGGAGTGATATGAATGTCAAGCAGCGGATCAACCCGTTTGACTGCTATATCAGGTAGAACGCAACTAGTGGCATCAAGAGATGATATTGATGAAAAGTTCTTAGCAAACAATTCAGCTTTGTCTTTAGGTGAGGTGACAAAGTCTGAACCATACAAAAGAGATGGAATTACAAACTTGCTTTTATTATTGATACTATTAAAGAATCTCCAGAAGTCACAAGAGCCTAATTTTTGTGATGAAATACAAGATTTCACGACCTGAGAATAGCGTGTTTTACATTAGACAAAATCTTTTTACAATGGTTCCTAGCAGTAATAAACAGACGTCTGTTTTCTAGAGAATCGTTTTGCTAATAGATATGAAAGTAATGGTTTCGATTGGCAATTGCAGCAGCACAATGTGAAGAAAACCATGGAGAAGGATAAGGCTGGAATCATCAAGAGGGAATAAAGGATTCCATGCCAGCCTGAATCCACGACGTTATATAAGAAGCACATTTGTCAACAGGAAGACGAAAGATTTCTACCCTAGGGCCATCACGAAGAAAATCACGGAAAGAGTCCCAGTCAGCTTTAAGGTAGTTGTAAGATGTACAATGATAGGCAGATTCTGATGATAAAGAAGAATTAGATAATAGTTTTAGAAAGATCAAACTGTGATCAGAGGCCCCTAAGGGTGAATGTGGAGAAACTGTTCACTAGGATCAGAAACAAGACATAAGTCGAGTAGAGAAGGTAATTGATTCGGGTTGTCTGGAAAGCAAGTTGGAAAGTTGACTATTTTAGTTAGGGATTGAGAAAGGCAAAAACTGTGGGGTTTAATGCCTGCAGTGTCACTGACACTAGAGCCCAGCCATTCAGTGTAATGAACATTAAAGTCACCGACAACAACAATATTTGCTGATGGATAAAGAGAGAGGGCTTGGTCAACATGATCAGAAATAATACCAAGAAGAGTGCAGTCTTGAAATGAAGGAAAGTGATATAGAATAAAGAGAAAGGTGATAGAGTGAAGTGGTGCTAAACAAAAGCACATAAAAGAGTAGCCTGTGGATTCAAATCTAGTTTCTCGACAAAAGGGTGAATGTAAATGCCATGGCTAAGCATGTGAATATTGGAGTCTTTACAAATTAAAGGGAGATAACCATTAACATTAAGATCACAAGATGAGGCAGCTGAACTCAAATTAGTTTCACAAAGGGCAAATAGGTCTGATAAACTTTGCAAGAGATAAGATTCAACTGAAGAAAAGTTACTTCAAAGCCCATAAATATTAGTGAATGATAGGTTTAGCGAACTTGGTGATGACAGTGGTTTTTTGTGTTTTCTAGTTTTGTTACTTTATTCATTTTTAAATTTGTTAAAGAACTTGACTCGAAACATAGATAGTACTCAGTACACTGTTTAATAGCCCAACCAATTGCCTCATTACTATTAATATACCTTAAGCCGCAACAAAGGGCTCCAATATGGCCTTAGCAATGCACACCAAAAGTACACACAGGGCCACCATCCATGCTTAACATGACACTGTTAATACTTTGATATTTTTCAGCTGTTGATGGAATCAGCCTCTCTGAGAGCTACCACAGAGTTCAGGAAACCTGACTACCAGCCGGTCTCAGAACCATAAAACTGAGTTTTAGAGCTGTATCCTCATTAGGAGATAATAGAAACGCAAGCAAAACCCATGCATCAGTTCCAGAAGATCCAGCATTCAACATCCTAACTGGAAAAAATGTTATAAAAAATACAACTGCGCCAGCCTAATAGATGAAGTGCCAGCCTAATAGATGAAGACTAATTTGATTAACTGCATCTATATCTTTGCAAAGCAAAGTTTTCTCATAACTTCTTTGCTAGTTACACTTGGCAAACTCTGAACTCTATATAGGAAACCATAAACTGAACATTGAATTTTTTATCAAATAACTGCAAGTTAGTTGATAAAACTACTTGCAAGCTACTAATTGACTGCAATTAATTGCAAGAATAGCAAAGTAAAAGATTACTTTGGATTTGCAGACTTTTTATGAACTTTTTTATTGCTTAATGATTCGCTCAATAGAGTTTTTGACACCATAAAGTTTTTTTTTATTTGGTTTTCAAATTAATTAACATTATTTTTTTTTAATAACTGTAATTTACTATCATGCAGCAAAATAGTCTAATTGAATAAATTCAAAAGAATATGTTATAATGTAATGTAATAGTCAACTTAGCTTCCAATATTTTTATGGAGAAATAATTGTTTGTTTTCTTGACATTTTACATAACTACGTCTTGTTTAAAACTAAATGAATAAAAAAGATTTTGTTTTATTTTTTGAATACTTATTAATAGTTCTGTTAATAACAATTATTTTTTATTTTTAAATTGTCAACAAGTAATATACTAAAATAAACTTTGTTTTTATGTAAAATAACAATTTTTTTTTTTTTACAAAATGATTGATATATGCTTATGTTATCAAAATGTGTTACTAACACTTGCGTTATTAAAACAACGTCAAAGTATGTTTGTTACATATTTTTAATGTTTACAAATAATTCCATTTTTATAAAAATAAAATAAAAAGGTTAAATAAAAGCCTTGAAAGTTTAAAGAAAATTTTGTGGGGAAGAAAATAAAACTTTTTACAATAGTCATAAATAAATAAAACAATTTACAATAGTCACGCTTAAATCCATAGCTTTGCCTAAGGAAACTTTCTTTCTGATATTATAGAAGTGTTATAAGAGGTAGCCATACTCTACTCTTTATTTCTTCAAAGTTACAGCTAACCTGGATTTAGAAAGAAATTTAACAGCATTTTTCAACAAATTTATTTGCCTCACGTAAAATAGTGGAACTTTCATAAAATATTTTCACTCCAAAAGTTGTTTGTAACAATATCTTGTATGAATCCTTTTTAATTTATATTGAGCATTAGTGAAAATTTAGCAATATTTGAGGTAATGAAATAAATGAAATTCAAGCAAATAATAAAAAATTATAAAAAAAAAATTTTTTTGATTTTTTTTACATTTTGTTTATCTCTTTAATAATACTGAACTTAATAGTAGTAGTGCGCTTTCGAGCCTGTTTGACACGATACTCTTGGCAACCATTGCGTCGGAGGTAGTGACGAGAAAGAGTCTCACCTTTGCTTTATAAGAAAACGTGAGCAAACGTGAAACTTACATCGTACGTACCTAGACTTCATGTTATGTAATGTTAAAACATGCTTAAACATATATCAAGTTCTACACTTTGATTTTCACTTAAGAACTGCATTTCGTCAACCTCAGCTTGATTTCTAATCTTTTGCATCTATATCCGTTAAAAACAATTTTTATATAACTTTGAATCTTAATTACTTAATGTGTCAGCTTAGTCGAGTGGTTAGCTCGCTGGGCTTCGGAACATAGCTGCCGTGGTTCGAGTCCTACCGATAGCGACTACTGTTTTAATTTTTTTTAGATTCTTTTAAATACAAATTCAAATACTTATAATGTTTTATAGATATTGTATATAGACAACATATGTAAAGATATTAATCAAAAGTTTGATCCTCGCATTTTGACACAGAACCAACTTCGCTAAGGAGAGAAAAAAAATCGTTCACAAATTTCAAAATTTTGTTTTTTCGTGAAGTCTTTTAACACTTAGTTTCCAACTTTCTTGACATATTCCAAGTCTTTTTGAGAAAAAACTTTGTTGATCAAATATACAAAAACAGAAATTCAGCTTTTTTGTAAATGATAAATATTGCTGTGGTACAAAGTGCCAACCTAGGTTTTTTAAACAAAATGCCAATCGAGTTTTACTTCCACGCGGTTTTAATCACCACGAGGCTTAGTTAAATGCTTAGTTAAATACTTAAAAAAAGATAAAATTTAAGGCTTAAAAAAAGAATTTTTTACAAATTTTTTCTTACATCTCTTTAATCCTTGACTTTTGGATTTAGATTTATTACATTGATAGTAACATTATCATATTATTATTTTTAGATTATTACATTGTTTGATATTTTTTTTAGAATTTAGATAAAAGCGACAAAAAAAGCGTCTCCCCCCTATCCTTTAGGATTTTAGAGTCACCATTAAATTTTAACATATGTAGCAAGAAGTGTTTCGCAAATGCCATTTATGTTAAAGTTAGTGTTTACCCAATCAATAAGTTTAATCTTCGTATCTAGGACATTAAAAGTTATCATTTAGATGTTTTCATTTGATTGAGATTTTCTTGCGTTATAAACCGGATAATAGTTCTTATGAACTGTAAGCACGCGGATAAAGTGTGCATCAATAACCTAAAGACCCGTATTTTACGGGTCATGACAGCTAGTATTGTATTAATCGTCTTAACAATAAACAATGGAGTGTTTCTTATGCAGCTGAATATTTTGATTTTTTTGATAAAAAAAAAATAGTTTTATAAAAATTTAAAATTTATTATTATGTATTTTTTCTGAATTGATTATATTGATAAACCACTTCATTAAAATACAGTTAAAATAAAAATACTGTTAAAATAAAAATTAACTACTTCATTAAAATACTGCTTAAAAATATTTATAAAGTTATTTAAATATCATTAAACAAAAAAGTTTTAGCGTTACATAAATAGCATAGTGTAACATTAAAATGCTCTCTGCGTATATAAAATGCAATTCGTTTGATGCTTTATAACAAGGCCTCAATTTGTCTTTTAAATAATTTTTTTATTCTTTCTTCTGATACAAGTGGTCCAGGTTTGAAAAGTACAAGGATCTCTAAATTGACTGCAATTTCTAATGATGTTTTCTCAAACTGTATGTCATTTTTGCTAACAAGCCTTTTTGCACTCAGTTTTCCAGTTTTCACATGCCTTTAAAGAAATCATTCAATCTATTTATTACTAGTAAGAGCCAATTTATTATAAATTTTGTTTTTTATGTAGTTAACTAAAAAATTGCTACCCTAGGCAATAACCTAGTGACTTAACTGGGCACCATTGAAATTTGAATAATATTTAATTTAAGAACACACAGAGGTTTTTTTAAGAAAAAATGTGATAGTTCTGCCAGCACAACAGAAAAACAGTTTATAAATATTTTTATAAAAAGTAAACTATACTTTAATTATAATCAATTAAAAACTTATATTAACTTAAAAACTTATATTAACTTAAATTATAATCAAGTAAAATGTGTGTATTTTTTTTTTTTTTTTTTACTTCACAATGAAACAAAACAATGTGTTTATTTAATAAAATTTCTTTTAATAAAAAAAAAAGCATCTCTTGACTTGCTTATATTAATTTGTTTGTTTGTTTGTTTTTTACTTTTATCATTTTATATTAGCTTTAAAAAGAATAATTAATTGAAAAAAAAAAAACAAAGAAATTCATAACTTTGACAAGCTTAGCATTTCAAAGTTTTCTGAAAAACAGTGGTTTTTTAAAAAAAGCTGTTTCTAGGGTTTCTGAAAAACAGTGGTTTTTAAAAAACAGCTGTTTTAATGCCTGTAGCCTACATCATCAACTTAGAACCTCTTGATTGAAAAATCTATCACTAGTTTACTATCACATGGAGTATATCCAAGACATGCCCAGGCATGTGACTATCGGATTCTTAGCGAATCAAAGAATAATAACCACCAACACTTAAATCTGAAGATGAAACATCTGAATTTATACTATTCTCACAAAGAGCAAACTGATCTGCTAAAATATATAAAAGGTAAGGATTAGTTAAAAAAAAGTTAATAAGTTACTTTAGAGAATAGACCATCCTAAATAAACAATCCCTGCTCTTTAATTTCCTAAAATCTCTCTTTTTTTTTTTCCTTTTTTTTTTTCAAAATAAAATCTCTTATACATAAAATAAACTTGCTGAATGAATAAAACATATTTTTTTACAAGCAAGGTTAGATATGTTATACATTTTTTTTACTAATTAATACAATACCTACCATTTAAAATTGCTGGCTTACGCAGAGTTAGTAGGTATTCTAAAATATGTTCTTGGTTATTCATTACACAAGCATGTAAAGGTAATGTAAGATTACAATATTTTGGCATTGCCAACTGATTTGGAAAAGCCTTGCAAAGTAGAACAGCAACATCATAATAGCCATGAAAACATGCATCATAAAGAGGTGTAAGTCCATTTTCAGCATTTGGTTGACCATGAGCTTTATAGTCTATTAGAAGTTGAACAATATCTTTAAACCCATTGTGGCTTGCACTTAAATTAAATTAAATATTTATTAAAATATAAAAATTCTAATACTTTTATATTGCATATTTTTATTTTGACAATATAGTTGTGAACATTATATACAGTTGTTATGAGAATTTGGCAATAAAGTTTTATATAATTAAATGCTGTATATAATGCCAACGTTGTTTGTATTATACAACTATTTAATAATATTTTATTTAACAATATTTTATTAAATATTGAAAAAAAATTTTATTATTCAATCAATCATAATAATTCAATAAATCATAATAATTTAATAAATTATATTAAATTAACTATATTAATAATTCAATAAATTATATGATTTATCATAATTTATAAAAAAAAATTAAAAAAAAAATCTAACTAATTTACATTATTAAAAAGTATTAAAAACATGTTAATGACACAAATTAACAATAACTTAACCTGACTTATAAAATTATCAAATGTCTTTGAACAATATTTCATGAAACTTTGTGAAGTGTAAAATAGTTTAACTTTTTTTTTTCAGAATTTAATTATCAACATATTTTATTAGACAGCCAATCCAACCATAGATGCTTAGATTAGCTGTTAATAATAATTTGGTTGATATAACAATAGGTTATATAAATGTATAGTCATTGACATAATAAGGTAGACAGTGGGATTTATTTAAACCCCCTCCTTCCCAGTCTTCCATCCAAAGATTTGAAAAAAAGAAAAATAGAAAGACTAATTCTAAATGCAAAATAGGTAAATAAAATTACAACAAAATTATTTTAAATGCATTTAATTATTTTTTTTGTAACCAACTGCTTATATTCTCCAAATCTAGAGCAGATATGTTGTATGTATGACCTGATATTGTTGTGGGTGTAGAAATCAGGCATATAACTTCAGAATTGAGTACCCAACACCCGTCATTTCTCATTGGTCAAAATAAAGTTTTTACCTGGTCCATGTGGTTGCATGAACTGAATTTTATACCAAGCTCACATACATCTTCAGCAATCTCTACCTGCCAAAATATGTCAAAATACCAAAAAATGCAATATAATCCATTTTTTTAATGTTTAATAAAATCTCTTTAGCATATTTGCTTTTTGGAATAATATCAAATATTTCAATACATGTATCAAAATTTGTTTTTATATAAGTAATAGTGTTTAAAGTAATTGAAATAAAATGATGATACATCCTCACAGGGCCATCCTCAATATTTGCAGTTTGCCAGCTATAGTTCAAAACTTGCTTAATGTGCTACTCAAATACTTATACGACAGCTTTGGGGGGAGGGACACCCCTACATTACATACACCCCTGCATCCTTGGGCCAGGAACTATTCTTCCACCTAAATATCTTTTTTCTAATTGTGCTTGTGTTTGGTCAATTTCATCTTTAGAAGAAATTTATCTTGGCTTTACAAAAGAAGTACATTAAATTAACATCTAAAATCTGCCCAGTAGTTATTTGCTTTAGACTTTCTTGACATACTACTCTTTTAACAGTCCCACCAATACCATCACAGGGGGATTTATCATGACTTGTAGCAAAAAATACCTATTTAACATTTAAATCAAAGTCTTTACTGTGATGACAAAGATTGATAAAGTTTTTAAAATTTTTAAATTGTGCCACACAACCAACAGAAAAGTATTTTACACTTGATACATCAGGTAGATTTATCTAGTTATATCTTCCTGAGTCTTGTAAATAAATCCTGTGTCATGATCAACATTTTCTGAAAGGTAACAAAAAGATTTATGTTTGAGAATTTTATTCTCTATAAAATAAAGTACGATTGTAAATGCTGTCACATAATAAATTACTAAATTCATCTAGTGGCAATGATTGCACAATTGGTACTCTGGCATTACTTGAATGCTATCTTCTTTGAGCTCATCGTTCATAAACTCACTAAAAAACATTTTAATGCTTCAATACCAGGGCATTGGTTACACTGATTTAACATACATTCTGCACTTTAAAGAGAACAAACAACCAATGCCATGAAATCTTTATTACTTTTATTCCAAATAATGGCATCAATGAGAAATTGTGTATTTTGTCCCTGGCATCATTCTTTAAAATTCATCACTTTGATAAAAGCTAATCACTAAATTAAAGTGTCTGGTGAAAGTGGGTTTTCAGTTTTAATTCAGGGCAATGATAGAATTCCATGCTTGTTTTTAACTTTTCTTGCAGTTTGAACAAGATACTCAGACACTTTAAAGTAGTTGATATCTTTGTATGTGTCCATGATTTTATTGCGAGTGTACCTTTTTCAAGATTTATTTTTGCAATTTTTTAATCCAAACCTTAGAAATAACTCAATTTATCGAAAAAATTGGACTTAGCTTCCTTTTATAAAAACACTCTTCAAATATCAAAAATATTTTACAATAAGAGTCTCAGAATAATAATAAGAGTCTCAGAGACAATAAGAGTCTCAGAAATTTTTTTTTATTTCATACATTAAAATGTCTAGATCATGGTCATTGCTGATTTTGTTGTTTAAAATAGGGCATTTTATTTCTGTTGTTAAAGAAGTTTCTTTAATGTTATATGCTAATGAGACCATTTTTGCTGTGTTTTTAAAAACTTTTTAGTTTGACTGGTGAAATTCCATGTTATTCTATAATGGTATCTAACTTTGGTATCTAACTTCTCACTTTTTGATTCCCATTCCTCCTGTGAATTTAAATCTTCATCAGTTTTTACTGCTTTTTTGTAATGTTTACTGCAGAATTTCCAACCTGAGGTTACATAAACATTATTTTATTTCAAAAATTTTGCCAAGTCTAGGGAAATCTTTATACTACCTAAGAAAGAATTTAGTTTTAAGTTTTTAAAATAACTGAAAATATAAAAAATTTTATAAATAATTTTTAAATTTTCATATCAATTCTGTTTTTAATATAATAAGAGGTTCATTCACTGATTGTAATTGAAATAATGAAAATAAATTATTTCTCAAACTTAAACTAAAAAAAAAACTATGTTTTTAAATTGAATTTTAATATTTATTTATTATTAATTCATTTTATGTATAAAAAAATTAATAAATAAATTCCAGGGAGATTGGGGAAGGGGAGGCAGAGTTGGTCATAAGCCAACTGGAACTCACTTGGCCCATGACTATAAATGTCCTAAGCTAGTCAATAAATGTTTTTAAAAATATTTCAATTGCTTTCTTTACAAAATTTAAATTTTTCTAAAAAGACAAATTTTTAAATAAAAATTTTGATTAAGTATTAGAGAGACAATGAATCTAATTTTTTTTAGTAGACCTAAGATAAAATAATGATATACAATTAAACTTTTTACTCAGGATTTTGGGCCACAGTCTTCATTTTACCTCCAAAAACCAGGAAAAGATTTTTTAATTTTCCAACAGGAGAATAAATTTTAGTAGATGGCACAAGAGACTCTAGCTCTTTAGAGCAGCGTCCATTATAGTATTTATAGAAAAGAGAAAGAGAAGCAACATTACAATGATGTGATAATGGCTATAGGTTGGCTGCTAGTGCAGGTCCAACTATGTTTACAATGTATTTTTACACCTTGTCTAAAAGTGAAAGGGTATCATTCAAAGATCCACTCCAGATATGACAACAGTATTCTATACAATGACAGATTTGAGATTATAGAGGTAAAGAATAGAAGAATAAAGAGATGCAACCTTAACAGATGCTGATTTTGCAATGGATTTGATATTTAGTTTCCAGGAAAATAAGAGTTTATCCTACAAGAAGAAAATTGAAAAAAATTGAGCTTTATATGAGTTAAAGTTTACCAGCCACTGAGAGCCCCATGCTGTAGCAGAAGTGAGATCCTTTTTAAGCTCAAATGCCCCTCTTCCCCCCCCCCCACACACACACGCAATCAGAGAGTGTAAGTCTCTTATCAAGACAAGAATAAATGGTATCATAATCAGCGAATAATGCCATCTTAGATGTGAGAATTTCTGGAAGATCAATAATTTAAATTTAAAAAAGTATAGGGCCAAGGATAGAACCTTGTGGAGCCATTGAATTTACAGGAAATGAAGAAGAGTGCTGTCCATCAAGGACAACTTTTATACTACCATTAGAAAGGAAGGATTCAATAATCTTAAAGATGTTACCAAGTACATGTTAGAATAAAGCTTATGGAGGACCAGCATTCCAAACTTGAAAAGCTTAGGAAATGTCAAGAGCAGTATGCTCTTGAAATTTCTTAACCTCTCCACATTTATCTAGTGCACAATAAAATCAGTTATTACCATCAACAAATCAGCAGTAGAACAAAAAGATTGAACACCTTATTGATGATCAGAAAGTAAGTTATGAGAGATTAAGTGTTTGTTATTTAAAGATTCAAAAACCTTGCTAATGATAGGAAGAAGACTAAGGGGACGGTAGTTAGACGAGTCAGATTGCTCTCCAGAATTTTTGAAAACAGGGATAACAGATGAAGGCTAAAAAACAAGACTCTGATAAGCTGATAAGCACTTGTTAAATACTTTTGAAAGTATAGAAAAAAACTCTCAAGAACACTTCTGCAAGGCTATAACAGGTATGCTGTCTGGACCACAAGCTGTAGAAGAATCTAAGCAGGAAATCACTTTAGATACAGCTGGAGTGATACGAAGGTTAGCAATTGGAAATTGCAACTGCATAATTAGAGGAGAACAGTGAGGCTTTGGATTTGTCGAGAGGGAATAAAAGATTCCATGCCAGCCTAAATCTAAAAACCTACATAAGAAGTACATCCGTAGGCAGGAAGACGAAAGATTTATACCCAAGGGCCATCAAAATGATTACAAAAAGATCATCATTTAGCTTTAAGGTTGTTGTAAAAGGTAAGATGATAGGGGAATTCTGGTGATAAAGAAGAATGAGATAATAGTTTTAGAGAGATCAAACCGTGATAAGAAGCACCTAAGGGTAAATGTGGAGAAATTGAGTACTGACTAGGATGAGAAACAAGACGTAAATTGAGTAGAGAAGGTAAATGATTTGAATTGTCTGGAAAGCGAGTTGGAAAGTTGACTATTAGTGTTAGAGAGTCAGAAGACAAAAGTTGTGGGCCTTAACACCTGCAAATGCAAAATAAATATTTAACAACATTTAAATTTTTACCAATATAACAGTGTATTATATCCTCGATAGTATTTATTTATATTAGAGTATGGATCCTTCATAGTCTCAAGAATGTGTTTCGTATTTATGAAATCTCCTGCAGAAACCAAGTCATAAAGAACTGAAAAAAAAATTAAAAAATAAAACTAAGTTTGAAAACTATGTAAGTAATATAAAAACTTATAACAAATATTTTTTTGAATAAATTTTAATCAAAGTTTTTGCTTAAATGATTAATTATCATAAAAAAAAAACAACTTGAAAAAAAAAAAAAAAAAAAATTATAATTAGTTTTTCTGATTGATTTAAGGAAATAAGTAAACAAATTCTCTATTTTAGATTGATATCTTTAAATATTGTTTATATTTTAAAAACTTATTACCTTCTGACTTTTTTTCTTCAATTTCAATCTCCTTCTGAACTATAATGTAAAAAATGGTTTATGACAATGTTGCATTACAATACAATGCCAAATATTAGTAAAGTACTCTAACAATTGTTAATATTATTTTCTTTATAAATAAATACAATATCTTTATGTTAATAAGAATTTAAAAAAAAAAGATTTTTCATATATCAACTGACTAGAAAAGGTGAAAATGTGAGGAGTTCTGTTACATTGAATAAAGATTTGGGCTGCTGCAGAAATCTTGTTTTTCATTATTCTTTGTTTATTCTTCTTTTTTTTTTTTTTTTGTTTGTTTGTTTGGAAAGCTGTATGGAACAAAGTAAGCAAAAACTGTTGGGAAATGCTAATCTAAATCTTCATTTATAATTAAATATACATATAAATATACATGTATATATATATAAACACATATATATATATATATATATATATATATATTTATATATATATATATATACAAATTGTATTGCACACTAAGGTAAGCAATCTGACATCATACTGACGTCATATATATATATATATATATATATATATATATATATATATATATATATATATATATATATATATATATATATATATATATATATATACAATATATAAGGTATTTAATAGATGATGATTGCCCTGTATGGCACAAAACTTTGAGTATTATTATTAATGTTGTTTTTCATTTAAATAAAAATTAAATATTTATTGTCATGAATACAAGCAAACGTAAACTGCTACAAAAACATACAAATTACTGTAGAATGAGCTCAGATTTTATAAGCAAACCTAAGTAAAAAACAAAACAACAAACAAAAAGTTGTTATAGTTTACTAGTTTCTTATGTCAAATAAATATACAAATTTTTTAGAATACCGACACTGAGATACAACTTTGTTTTTTTTTATTCAGTACATTTTTACTATTAAATGATAAAACTACATATTTTTTAAAGAAAGACATTTCTTTTGTTTACGGTGGACATATATGCGATTTATTTTTGTAGTTTGTATATTCGAAAACAATTTAATAAAAATTATTGGTATTACACTGTAACACATTCATGTAACACTTATTTTGAAAATATTGATCAATAAGATTAGTTAAGTCTTTTTTGAAGACATCTCTTTTACTTGTGGTGGACATATAAAAGATTTAATTTTATGGTTTAATAAGGAATTTGTTTATTATACAAACTACAGAATTAAATCTCTTATATGTCCACTATTTGACTATTTGACTATTGAAACAAAGAATAAAAAAATTAAAAATTATCCACCGCAAGTAAAAGAAATGTCTTTCTTCATAAAAGACTTAACTAATCTTATTAAACCAATAAAGTTTGAGACATAAACAACACTTTTCAATTGGTATGAAAAAAGATATTAAATATTCGTATATCTTATGTTTTGTCAGCTTTTGTTAGGAAACCCTAACAAAAGCTGACTAAACATCAAATATGTATAAACTGTTTAAAGATGATTACATTAATCTGTTAACAAATGCTATTACCGCCATCTAGAAAAAAAGAAATCCAAAATTAAAAGACTATTGAAATAAAGAAGTAAAACAAATTTTAACCAACCATGAGATATAAAAAAAATGGAAATAAACAGATCCTCTAACTGTTTTTTCACTTTGAAAGACCCTAAAGAAACTTTGTTGATAACCCATCTGTGGGCCTTTTGAACCTTTTAAAAAGTAAGGTAGGACAAATTACTAAAGTTATTTTATCAAAAATCAATTGTGAACTTAAAATTAAACTCTTTTTAAATCTATGGTAAAGTACACAAAATGTTATAGACTGGCTTAGAAAAATCAGCAATAAGCATTTATACAAATTTTTAGTTTTAGATGTTAATGATTAAAAATCATTAACATCAAAAACCAAACCCTTCCATTAATGAAAACACTCTCAACAATGCTATGAATTTTGTTGATCAGCATATCGTTAACAAAAGCAAAGACAAAGTATTGATAAAGCATGCAATATGATGTATATATATGAATATATATATATATATATATATATATATATATATATATATATATATATATATATATATATATATATATATATATATATATATATATATATATATATGTTTGGAAAGTTGTATGGAACAAAGTAAGCAAAAACTGTTGGGAAATGCTAATCTAAATCTTCATTTATAATTAAATATACATATAAATATACATGTATATATATATATATATATATATATATATATATATATATATATATATATATATATATATATATATATATAAATGTGTTTATAAATATACATGTATATTTACATTTAAATTAAATAACTTTAATTTTATATAATTATAATATAAAGTTAATTATGTTTTAATATTATTGAAAAGCATATAGTAACAATTTACTGCTAATGCTTTTTTATAAAAATAATAATGAATATCAAATATATATTTTTATATTAATATAAGTGTATATTTTTTATCATAAATATCTTTAAATAAATAATAAATTATATTAACTTTTTAAATAAACAATATTAACATATATCACTGGCTTGTGAAATTAAACTTTAAGATAACTCAGTTGTTGTTTTTTTTACTGCAAACAACTACCACAATACTGTTAACATTCCAATATAATGAATGGCAACCCTTACTCTCAGTCTTCTTCTCTAAGTCTTCTTGGATAATCATGAACTACTTACATCTCTTTTTTTGTCCATGTATGAAATACTGTTTCATACTTGGGCTGGTTCTTCTTACAATGCTCATACTCTTCTAGACAAGGTCCAGAAACAAATTGTAAACATAGTTGGATCTGCTCTATCTGTCAAGCTTGAGCTGGGCAGATGAAGCATCTCCCAATTTAATAGTGATTGCTAGCATCATTGTTGGGAGTGAATTAGATTTATAAAATATATATATACTAAGCCTTCCCGGGAAGCACATGCGGTCGCACGCCTTGTTTGTCTACATTTAAAGAGGTTTTTTCAGACAACGGCAGTTCGCATCTTTTAACTTATAAAGCCTTTTAACAATTCGCAACAAAAAGCTAAACTTACCTTCTAAGAAAAAAAAAAAAAAACCCTAAAAAAAAAAACCCTAACAAAATTGTAACGAAATATCAAGTTTAATTAAATAAACTACAAAATTTAATAATTAAAAAAAGTAAACATATATATATATATATATATATTTTTAATAAAATTTTTATACAACTTTTGTATTTTGTATGCAATATTTGAAGAAAATCTATCATCAGGAAGTAACTCAAAAATTGATTGCAAGATTTGATGCTCACAGACAAATAGAGAGGACCCAATAACAAGGTGACAAATAAAGGGTCAGTTTCCAAAATATCTAAAAAACTCATGCTGGGACAGGATTGGTGTGCAATCGCACTCTTTTAATTAACTAAATAAACTACAAAATTTAATAATTAAAAAAAGTAAACATATATATATTTTTTTTAATAAAATTTTTATACAACTTTTGTATTCTTTTTTTAGAGTCATTGTTGAAAAAAACATCTTTTATAACAATTTAACAACAATTGAATGCAATTTATTCACAATTTTTATCAGCCCATATAATTAAGAAACTAATTTGCTAACTATAACTAATTTGTAACTATAAGAAATTTTGTTAATTTTTTCCCAATGCTTTTATTAACTCGTCGTCTCTATTTGTCTGTGAGCATCAAATCTTGCGATCAATTTTTGAGTTACTTCCTAATGATAGATTTTCTTCAAATATTGCATACATACTCTTGCTTGATGACAATACAATATTCAATAATGAGTTTTGCAATAAGTCAATTAATTTAGTTAATTTTCATTAAGTTTATTTTTATATGGAAAGAAGAAATTTTAAAATAAGTATATTAGTTGTTTTCCTACTTATACGCGTGTTTAGCTTATTTGGATAAGGCGTTGACTTCGCAAATGGAATGTCTAAAGTTCACAACCTGCCTTTTCCTGATTTTTTTTTACACAAGCATTTTTTTACATACGCATACACACATTACACATGCCTAGTGTTCATAAAGTAAAATAGTAATATCAAATAATTACAAAATTTGTGTTTCAATAACATATAAAAACATTGGGTTTTAAAAATTTGTTTTTAATTTTACTTGTTTTCTTACTTGTTTATTCATTTTTACGTCTATTTGCTTTTTAAAATGTTTTTGCTATATTTGACGTTCTTTCTCAATACTTATACAATAGGAAAATAAGAAAATAAATTGTTATTTATTTGTAAAAAATACTATTTGATTAATAAATTTTGTAATGACGGAATAAGTTAAATAAAAGAATAACATGGTTTCTTTAATAAATGTATTTACTGCATTTGATGTATGTCTGAAATTGTTTCTTTTATATTGCCCAATTTCCAATGTTTATAAAAATTACAAGAGTACAATAATAAAAATTTAGAGTAAATTATTTAAATTTAGATTTTAAAAAATTACAACAATTGCTCTGTTTAAAAAAATGTATTTTAAAACTTAAAAAAAGTTTTAAATAGGCTCTTAAAAATTTTGTTAAAAAAGTTCATTAAATTAATATTGCATTAGCCCACAAGATTTTGGAGCATTGTTTCATTTTTTTACATGAAAAACTTGTTGAAAGGAAAGCGAGAAAACTAATACTGTTAATATTAGTTTTCTCGCTTTCCTGTGCATTAATAAAAATAGTAAAGTTTAGCAAAGACCTTTAAAAAACAAATTGTCCATGTTTCTAGCGCAAATTATAATTTGCGCTAGAAACGCGGCCAATTTTTAAATTTATGCATTTTTCACTGATTCTAAAATTACAATTTTTCAGTAAATGAGGCAAAAGTAAGCATCAGGAAGAAAAATTGTTTACAAAGTTTGATAGATGATTTACCCAACAGTGAATTTACAGACACAACTTTAAGCGAGGACTCGTCAATTGAATCTGATTTTGATTCAAGTGATTGGTATCATTTAGTCTCTGAAAACCTAGATATACAGTATTTGCAAAAATTCAAAAAATATATTTATACTGGTAATG